CCCCCCCCCCCCCCCCCCCCCTGGCCTCTAGTCGAGCCCGCCGAGCGAGATGAGGGCCCGGAATGCGATCCAGCGGCCGTACTTGTCGCGCTTCGCCACAGCATGATTGTAACTCCTTCATTTGGCCAGCCATCTGACCCACAGTCTGCTGGATCTGCAGCAGGATATGATTTGCTGACTCGGGGTCAGGGGGCTCCTTTCTGCGTTTCTCCTCCTCGATTATCTCGTCATTAAGGGCGCTCAAGAAACCGTGAAACCTTTCCTCAGAAAACTCTGATTTATCAGAATTCTCATATGGTAGTAATTCCAACATCAAAGTCAGGAGTATGTCGGTATGGATCGGCGCAGCCGCCTTTGACGACACACCCATCGCCATTTCATACACATCACACATCTCTGCCTTCAAATGTCTCAGCAATTCATCACTCAAACTCAACCCTTGGATGTTAGTAGAAACCAGATGACCCAAAAAATATAAGCCGCGCCACCCCGGACCCCGGGGAAGCGGCGAGCTGGGAGAGGACCACCACAACCAGCAGTTTTATTTAGCTGGATGATGATAGGTGGTCTAAACTCACTAACCCGTTACCGGAAACATATTGTACTGCCGTAAATGCAATTTTTTGTTGATGTATCCTATCCATAAGCTGAAGTCCTGCGGGTACAGTCAATGCGTTGTTGCTATTCCGCACCACGACCCTTTATACCATGCTGCCGTTCCGGCTTTGGCCAATTCTCAAGATCGTGATGTGGGTTGGAAGTGCCACCACGACTCTCGCGCAGTCTGTGCTCCCAACGCAGTCCCCATCGGCGGCTCCGACGCTTACCCCAACGTCTACTGATTCGCGAATACCGACAAGTTTGCCAACTTCTACTGGTCCACCATCAACAGGAGGATTGTCCACTTCATCGGTGCCGGTCCCACTCCCAACGATGATGGGGAACGTGCCTACATACCCGCAGACAGCGCAGCCAACATTCATTGCTCGGCCGTCCGCAGTTCCTACGGGGATACCAACGTCGGTACCAACTGCGGTCCCGTCACAGCCCCCCACAGTTTACAATCCGAATATGACCATTTTCCCCACGGATACGCCATCCTCGGCTCCGACATCCTTGCCATCACCGACGCCGACGCGACTTCCGACACTTTCTGTTGAGCCGACCCGGAGGCCTACAGACAGCAAAGAGCCGTCCTTTGTACCCACCTCGCTGCCATCGTCGGTTCCGACCTTCACATTTTTTCCAACGAAGGTGCCCGTTGAGACAGAATCTCCCACTGAGTATTCGTCTCTCCCGCCAACCACAAGTGTACCATCATCTTCACCGACAAATGCATCATTTCTTTGTCAGGGATTTTCATGCAATGGTCCAAATGGCGCGTTAGGATGTCCGGACTACACGGTACAATCACGACAGCACTCGGGATCTGCTGGTGGTAATGTATTTGTTACCGTTATTGCAGCGCAAAATCTGGAAGACCGAGACGGGACTACAGTCCCAGATGGAGGAGTCGCACGGTCGAG